GTAACGGAACCAATTTTTTTAACCAAAAATTAGATTTTAGGTCAAAGCTTGAATTTAGAAGAACTCGGGTTACTGATAATCGGAAAAGTATATAAGAAAGAGATTTTGAATAATATAATCAGAAAGCAAAAAGAACAAAGTATATTCCAGTAATATTTTTTCGTGTCCCTACAGTTGTTTGTGACTTTCCCTTTTATAGCTGTTTTGGGAATACAGATTTTCCCTTTGTCATAATAAGACAATTATGGGTAATTAATGACCTTAAATGTTACGTTATGCAATCATATACATTCAATACATATTCTCTAACGTTTTTAGTATTTAATACTCATTAAATGCTGTATCTGGGCTCTTTTTGATGTCAGAGTCATTCCTTTGTCTCTTCTCGATCCTTGACCTTTGAATGTCTTGAATAGGTACGAGCGTTGAATTATTTGTATGACTGCTCGTACCTTCTTCATTTAACTTGCTCGTATCTATCGTTGCTCGTGTATGTTGTTACTCGTATCTGTTAACCAACCTTAATTCTTTGACTGCTTGGTCAGTCTACGTGCCATGACACATCACCATATAAATACAATTTTCCCCAATACACAGTCATTGATGCTTGTATCAGGGTAGACTGTCTATATATCATACCCCTTGGGGTGCGACCTTTCCACGACCATGCGTAAACACAAAATATTTTGTGCATTGGGCTGCCTAATTAAATCCATTATAATAACTTTCTAGTGCACATATGGCGTATTTTCTATCCATTTTATCTTTTCCGTTCTTACTTTTTCCCTCACAAAGATGAGTACAAATTTTAAATCCTATTCTTCTTCAATTTGACAGAGTGAAATTCCACTCTGTATAGTTTCAACTCAGGTTAAAAAGGTACAAGTACTTTTCTTACTTTGTGGGTATACGTGCACTTCCACGTTGAAGTAATTAATAAAAGCCTAGCAAAATCAACAAAGTGAAGACCTTTTCGGTCATAAGAGGCAATGGTATTTCAAACATGTCAGAGATTCACGTGCAAAAGCATTTTTACCATGATCCATATTTACCAATTATCCTTGGACTTTGACCTTCAAGCACCAACAAAATTTTTGTGTGTGTGTGTGGTGTGGTGGGGTGGGGGTGGGGGTGGGGAAGATGGTGATATAATTGCTCTTTTTTTTTTTTTTTTTTTCGTTTCTCATCCGGTGTCGGGTGTCTGGTAATCGCATGGGCCCCAACTAAATTGAATTTGCGTGCGGAAGTCCTAGATTGAGCGGTAAAAGTTCCCTAACAAAGACGACTATATTCGGGGCTCGAACCCGAAACCTCTAATTAAGGATGAAAGAATATCTACGACTCTCGCGCAACCCTTATTGGTTGATAAAATTGCTCTATTTATTGTCAAACATCACTCATGGTGGGATTAGGTGATTCCTTCACCCATAAGTAGTGATCTCTTATTCGAATTCTGGAATAAAGAAACTCTGGATTGAAAGCGCTTTTACTTCAGCAAATCTTGCATAATATTACTTATTTAAATTAGTCCGGTCAATAAATATTAAGTATTTACGCTCAAGGATATGACCTAGTCGTCAATAAAGTGAATGAGAACCTTGAGGTTTCAGGTTTAAATCCCAACGGAGGCAAAAATAGTAGGTGATTTCTTCTCATTCGTCCAAGCCTTGGTGGACATAGTTACCAGACAAATGCGAATTTAAGATTTAAGTTCTATGAGTACAGACCTACTATTTGTTGCAATTTTAGTGGATTTTTATATATAACTTTATGCTTTGCGTCGAAAGTACTAGGTTCAAATGAACCCGATGTCCGAGTGCTATATTCGCCACCGTTACCAAGTACCTGTTGCTGGTGGGAGGTGGCAAGTATCTCGTGAAATTAGCCGAGATGAGCATAAGATAACCCTGATACCACGGTTATAAAAAGAAATTCGATCATTAAAAAAGAGCAGTCCGATGCACTAAGCTCCCGTTATGCGCGGGGTCTTGTGCCGGACCACAAGGATCTAACGTACGCAGCCTTATCCTGCATTTCTGCAAGAGCTTATTTCCACGGCTCGAATCCGCGATCTCCTGATCACATGGCAGCAACTTTACCCGTTAAAAAATTCGATCATTAACAAAATAAGAAATAGAAAAAAGAAGAGGTGGAGAAAGTAAAATAGAGATGTTTGGGCCCAAAAAGGTTAAAAGAGAAAAAAAAAAAAAAAAAGGGGAAGGGGGGCCGCACGGGTGGGCGAGACTTTGTTGTGCAGTGTCTCTACTGTCTTATCTTTGCTGCAAATAGTGGTGAGGACAGTGAGCCCCCTCTTTTAAGTCGTAACCCCCAATTATAAGGTACTACTACTACTATGCACGTTCCTCTAAGGATTCTTGCTGTCGGTTTACTCCTACTTCTTTTCACATCTTCTATTCCCATATTCATACCAAAAAGGAAAATTATTTACATGATTTCATGCAGCACTTTCATGATTTCGTGTAATTTTTTATTTAATAGCGTAACTGATAAAATTGTTGTCATGTGATCAGGGGGTCACGAGTTCAAGCCGTGGAAACAGCTTCTTGTAGAATGCAGGGCAAAACTGCGTACAATAGACCCTTGTGGTCCGGCACTTTCCCGGACCTCACGTATAGCGGGAGCTTGGTGTATCGGGTTGCACTATTATGTGTTAGATTCAATTTAGCCACAAGAATAAAAGCTTTTACACCAAATAGACAACCCTCCCCCCCCCCCCCCCTTAAAAAAAAGGGGGAAAAAGAAGTTATCCTTTAAATCAAGTAAAGTTGCATGAAATGAAATGATTTTTAGAAATGTTTATGAGAAGTAGAAATCATTACTTTTATTTCAACCAACAACAATTGGACCATATTAACCTTTGGTCTAACTAACTTAGGATAAATAGTATATTTCTTCACCCTTAATCAGAGATATTGAGTTCAAGTTTTGAGAGTGAAACTTTTTTCGGTAGAGATCGTTTTCTTCTTTAATGGACCTTACGCGGGACGCGAAACCAAATTAATCGGACCTCGCCAAGACGGGTAACAGAAACCGAATAAGAAATTAAAAAAAAAAAAACTTAATACTCAATGTGTAAGGAACGTGTTCTAAATATAAGGGTACAAGAAGAGAGCTAGTTACTTCACTTTCGCAAGCTTGTATATCTCATATCAAGTTCAACTTGTCAAACATATGCTCTGACTGATAATTCTTAATTAAGATTGCAAGTTTAGCCTAGCGAGGCCTATTTGGAGTACATATAATGTTCAGGTCTAACGGAGCCTTCGTGTAGCCGTTAAAGTTGCTGCCATTTGACCAGGAGGTCACGGGTTCGAGCCGTGAAAATAACATATTGTAGAAATGCAGAGTAACACTGTGTACGATAGACCTTTATGGTCCAGCCCTTCCCCGTACCCCGTACATAACGAAAGCTTAATGTACCGGGCTACCTTTTAGTTTTATTTTTATAATAATGTTCATGCCCTTTCCCAGAGTTGAACTTAAAAAGTTCCACTAGTAGTTGTCCCCAAAAATGAAATAGTAAGTATTCTACATTGGAATAATGGTTTTTTCAAAATATAATATAATATACTAATTCTTTCATGCAGAAAAAAAGAAAAAAGAAAAAGATTTACTAGCAAGACCCGATGTAAGTACTAGGAAGTAGGAATCGCCTTAAAATGATGTTAGCAATTGTCCTTTTTTTCTCGATACCATTTAAGAAGTCCTAGTTAACTATGCATCCCTCCACTACCTGACTTTTATGTATTACAATATATATCTTTTACTTTTATAATCCACTTTGAGTTTTAAAAAATGTAAATTCATAGTAATACTTTTGAATATACATAAAAAAGGTATACACACACATCGATGGATTGTTTAATTATTCTCAATTTTAGAACAATCTAGTCGGCTGGTTTTAATTAATAACAATTTCATATTCTTTTTATTTGTTGACAAGGTTTTAAGAAAATTTTGTTTTCTCTAATCAATAGAACACTGACTTTCAGAAACTGGAATTTTAATTGTATATTCACACACACACACACACACACATATATATATATATATATATATATATTCTTGGCACTTACTAAATATTCTTAGAACTTGTGCTCCTAAACATATCATGATATTTTTACAATTGTAAAAATATGTCATTAAAGTTAAAATAAAAATTAAAGTTAATTTTTTAAACATATAAAAATGTCATTTTTTAGAATAGAAGGGATCCCGGTGCACTAAGCTCCCGTTATGCGCGGGGTTCGAGGAGGAGCAAACCACAAGAGTTAATTGTACGCAGCCTTATCTTGTATTTCTGCAAGAAACTGTTTTCACGGCTTGGACCCGTGACCTCCTGGTCTCGTTTCTTTGAACAGATTAAAATAAGAACAATGTTATATAAAATGTAAGAGGGGAAGTATTAATTTTGATAGTCTACAATTCAAGATTGTAAAGATGAGAAGATACTTTCCAATTGATTTAGACACCACATAATGCCACTTATTTCCACATCATACAATCTAAAGAAAATAGTAAAAATAATGTTTGAGACATGTCTAAAGCTAGTGTCCTGTTAACAAAGGTTCAAGATTGATTAGAATGTCTGTAGTTCCAAACATTTACAGTTTCTGTTTGGGGAGCAACATTTTAAAAGCTTAAAACTCCTCATAATAATTCTAACATTTTGTTTCATATAATCCTCCCCTTAAAATTGATATTCTTTTAATTTATTGGAACCAATGGTCAAGTTTAAATCCTACACCCTTCATAACTTTTCTTGTGGCAAAGAGAAAACAAATAAAAGTAGTGAAGGACCAAAACTAATGCTCAATCAAGAGTGGATAAAAAAAAGGGATTTTATCAATGTTTAAAGGAACTATGAAGCAATATTAATGATGAATATGTCAATATTAAACCACCAAAACAAAGTCCTACCCTCCACCCACCCGCAGCGGATCCACTATTGTGGTACAAGGTTCATCTGAATTCAGTACTATCGAAGCAAATCATAAATTTATGTGTACAAATCCACTAATACAATAAATAGAAACTATAAACACATCATACTTCAACATATAATAGGTTCATATTAAAAACAAGATTTTTTTGAACCCATAAAATTTAAATCATGAATCCATCTCTGTCACCTACCAAGCCGCTGAACAAAAAATATCCTGCATTCACACAGAGTCCGAGTAAGAACCGCACCCTAATCCAGTGGAAAGGAAGTAGAGAAAGAAAGAAAGAAAGAGAGAAAGCTATATCAAGATTTCAAAATTGAAGACTAAAGTAAAATCAAGAAGGTTTCATCAAGCAAGAGCACTACAAATAAATAGAATGAGCTAAAAAAAAGTTCAACTTTTGAGGATTATATCAACATACTCTCAAATAAATCTCTAAGTACACCTTCTTCTCTACAAACTATGTGAAAATCTTCAATCTTCAATGATCATTCTTATCACGCCAACACACAAGCATAGCAATGCATCTTCTCACAATATAAAACTTAGCTCTTTGTTTCTTTGCTATATGACTACACTTCTTTCCAAATGATTTTGAGTTCTTTGAGTTCTCACCACAACAATCTTCTGAATTATTGTTGTGTTCTTCACTTTCTCTAATTGGTTCCATGAATATATGAAAAAGAAGAAACTATTTATATATATATATAGTACTACTATTTCTGCAACTGCAACTTGCAGCTTCTTGCAGTGGCTATATATTCACATATGGTTAATGCTTAAGGTTACTTTATTTATACTTGGTTTGAGTTACCTTGTTTTAGTCTTTTTATCTACATTTGGTTGATCTATAATATGTACGAATTTACCATTGCAATATTTGCTAGATAAAATGGTTTATATTTTTTTATTATTATAAATTAGTGGTATCTTTTGTTGGTCAAGTTTCTTGAAGTTTACATTTATACCTTTTCACATGAGTTTTAATGGAAGGGTTATTGTCCTTTGATAGTAAAGGGGGTTAGGTAAATGGGACTATCACATTCAGGATTAGTACCATTGGATTGAGAAGCAGACAACATTTCTAAACAGTATTAGGAGTACACATTTTGACTGAATATGGTTTTGCCCATTGCTATGGAAATTGATGCCAAAGCTGCAACTTGCATGCTGGCTTTTGTTTTTGTTTTTTAATGAAGAATTCACCTAAATCTTTTCTTTTTGTCCCTCGAGCCGAGAGTCTATCGGAGAACAATATCTCTACCTTTATAAGGTAAGAGTAAGTTCTGTGTACATGTTACCCTCCCCATACCTCAGGTGTGTGGGATTACAATGGGTTTGTTGTTGTTGCTGTTGTTGCCGAAGAACTCACCTAAAATACAGCTCACTCGATCGTTCAAACAAAAAATAGTTAGCGGGTGTAAATATATGTATAATTCATATATAAATGTGTATGACTGTGTGCGATCAATGTATAATCTTTATATACGGGGTAGGAAAAATAAAGAGTGAATTCGGCTACTATTTGTGTAAATATCTTTTTCACAATGGTTCTAATGACTCTGTGTTGCAACATTCACCATGTTATTTTCAGTTTTGAATGGAGTGAAGCCAACAACGTTATTGTATTTTGTTTCTGAGAAAAATATGTTAATTACATTGTGTAAAGATTTGAGTTAGGGTTAATATTTGAGTTCCAGCATGGGAATGGAATTAACTATTTATTCTAATGAGTTTAATAACCTCCTTTACATGTTTAAAATATATTCACAGTTTTCAATATATAGATTAGCCAATTTCGCTTACACTTCAGGATACAACGTCCTAGAGTTTAAACCTCAAAGTTCAAACTTCAGGACATCGTATCCTAAAGTTCGAAAATTGTGTCCAGAAGTTTGAATCTTATGTTTTGAATTTTAAATTAGTAGTTCAGAAATTCAGGACACTTAATCCTGAATTTCAAATTAGCAGCTCAAAAATTCAGGGCACTAAATCCTGAATTTTCAAATTTAGGATACTTAGTCTTGAAGTTTGAATGTATTGACTAATCTTTAAATACATTGTAAATTATAAATATATTTTAAATAGCAGGCTTAAAATAGCTATTGCTGCACTTCGCCTCGTAATGAGCCCTAGTAAATCCAAGGCAAGAGGTGAGTCATAACTTGATCCATTACTTAGAATGGATTGTGAATGTTATAAAATAAGTTTAAATTGAGCATGTTGTGTTGATTTACTTAGTGAGATGAGCTCATTTAATTGCATTTCTCAATCAGTTGGCGGAGTTAAAGAGTGTTGACTTTGTCGAAAATTACACGATATAAACTAAGTTAAAACAATTTTCTTTTATATATATAAATTATTGAATCTCGTTGATACTTAATTAAGTTTATTCTTTCACTGAGCTAGTTTATATTTTTTGAATATTAATTCTTCCATTTTTCGTAACAACCTCCTAATTTGGATCTTACATGTTAGTTTGCATTTTTTGAATATTAATTCCGCCATTTTTTTTTTGTAACAACCTCCTAATTTGGATCTTACATGTTTATTAAGTATTTACTATGCCTTTTATATAATTCAACCTCACAATTTTCTCTTTTTTTTTTCTGTCCTTTGATTGGTCACGAGGCAAGTCGAACTTGGATCTATGAGTATTTTTGCCCAATCTTGATCGAATTCGCTCATTTGTCACCTTTATTATTCAATCATTTGTAATTACAGTTACACATCCTTAAATTACTTATGTACCAGTCCAAGAAAATAAATAAATAAAAAGAAAAAAAAAAACAAAATTCTTGAAGTTGGGGAATTATAGTAAGTCCCAAGAATAACGTAGGGGCATGTTCACGTGTACGATCAGTAACTCCATGTTAAATACCCATCCTTTCCTATTGACCAAAGCCTTAAATTTCAAACATTACATTGCACATCTTATATTATTTGAAGATGAGGAAAAAAAAAAAAAGAACAATAAAGAAACAGCTCTTAAATAATGGCTTAAGATATAAGAATAGGGCCAATACTATCTTTTGAATTTTGACAGTCTAAGATACGGGTATATTTTTGTTTAATTCAGTCAGTTTTAAGTTAATTTCTATTTTCATCAATTCGTAAATAGGCATTTCATTGAACCATCTGAATTAGGTTTGAATATTTTTTTTATATCGAATTACGTTTTATCTAGATAAAGATTTCACATAATTTAATCAATTATAATAGTAATACAACTACATAATTAAATCATTCATAATACACAACTAATTCACATACAGTAACTAAATCAGAATATGCCCCTTCCAAACTAATTATATTTAAAATTTAACTGTTAAATTGTTCAGAAGAAAAAAAGAACTAATTAAAGAACGGATAATGTGGCTAGGGTTTTCGAGCCCCTGGGTATGAAGTCACATTTGTTAGGGAGCGCTTTACCCCTCAATGTGGGACTTCCCGGCCCGAATCCGGATTAGTCGGGCCCCAATGTAAGTACCGGATACCAGGTGAGAAATTAAAAAAAAATATGGCTAGGGTTTTTCTACCGATTGAGAAAGAGGAAAACAAAGAAAAGGAAAAGAAAAATGCGTCTGAAGTATAATAACCAAATGAGAAAAAGATGAATGAAAAATGCAATCAAAATTTAGAGCAGATTTTAAACTGACGACGTATATAACTTAAACTCTTTTCAAATTAGGTATGCAAGAGTTTTGAATGCCTCGGGTTAGCCAATACACCAGATATTTCTTTCTAGTAGTGGGTATACACTGGTAATATACATAAGATTATTTTATTTAAAAATATTTATATAAAGTACTGTAAGTCAGAGCTACAAGTTTATGTGCACAAATTACTACCTTCATATGTCCGCCTATGACAAAGATTTGGTCATCCTAGAATCATGGTTTTTTTTTCAATTTCCTTTTGTAAACCATTTTTTTTTGCTGTTGTAGAAATGGCACCAGGTAATAGCTTGTAGCAACCCCGACATAAACTTTAAAAATTATTTACAGTTTAGCCGTTTTTTCGTTTCGTTCTTCTTCTTCTTAGACCCACATATTTGAAGTTGATTTTGAGGCCGTTAAACTTTTTAAAAACTATAAATTTATGACTATTCTTCAAATAGGGGTACTAAAATGGCTATTTATGCACGTTGTAAAAGAAGAGAGATATTTCTGCTTGGGCTTGAAAGTTATGGTTGCCTTGGGCTAATCCATCCAACTCTTATTCTGGGCTATCTTTATGGTTCTCCGAAGGTTAGGTATATAATGTAAAAATTGCACGGTCTAGTCCGTTTTTGGATTGGTCATTCAAAAATAGCCAGCATTTGTAAAGTCATTGAAAAATAGCCACTATTTTGCTACAACACGTACAGTTCCAGCATAATATACTTGAGATCGGTACACCCGTGTATGAACTTCCAGCATATTATGCTAGACCGGTATATTATACTGTAAGTCCAGTATAATATGCTGGAAGTCCAGTATATTATACTGGAATTCCAGTATATTATGCTGGAGTATTTTTTGGATTTTGAACAATGTTTTCGTTCAGATTTATCTTTACATTAAAAGTGGCTAAATTTCGATTACTTTTAAAACTGTGGCTATTTTTGAATGACCACTTGTAAATCTGGCTATTTTTAAATTTCTCCCATATATAATAGTGGAAATTGCATAAGGTAGCCACTCTAAAGGGCTGCTTTCAGGAATTAGCCAATGTATTTTGAATTTCAGTTCTTTTTTTCGGGATACAAGTGTCCTGAATTGTCTTGAAATTAGATATTTAATTTAAATTTTCTGAACAAAAAAAGTATTGGCTAATCCTTAGATAGCAGCCCTAAGAATGACCGTTTGTATACTTCCCCCTATATAATCATGTGAATTGAGAGCTAAAACAACAGCAAAATATTAAATAACAGAGCTGTTCAAAGGAAACTGGAAATAGTTTTACGTAAGAAATTTCATCAGTATATATTTGTTTCAGAGTATTCTTTAGTTAGGGCACGAATGGTCTATGGAAATAAAGTAGGAGAAGTAAGTAAAAAAGCTCCACTTATATATAATTTAAAAGTCTCCACCTAAGTGGTATAAGATAGAGACTACTAAAAAAACAGGAATTAGCGACAAACAAAGTTTGTAGCTAAACAGTAAAATTCATCGTTAATCCTACTTAACAACGGTTAGTGATAAATTATCAAAAATTCTGTTAGCTACGAGCAATTTAAAGCCAAATTATTATTGCAGATTGATTAGTCCCTTTCAGGAATAACGAGTTTTATAAAGGAAGATGAGGATAAAAGGCTAATCTTATGCCTTTCCAATGTAGTAGTATTTTTTAGAGCTAAGATCGTCAAGAATAAGATTACATTGACGTATCATGTAGGTGATAATAACTTTCAAGTTGGATTTCTAGTCTATTCATATGTATATATGGCTTCTCAAAACTAGAATTCTATTCATAACTAGTACTATATATTAACGAGCAAGTGAGTCGAAACTTTACCCCAATATGGGACTTTATGAGTCGAATCTATATTTAGTAATACAGGTACCGAACACCAGGTGAAAATCAAAAAAAAGTTGCTTTGGCTAGAGAAGAAGATGATGAAACACAACAACACGATTCAATGAGCTCAAGTGCCACTGCTAAAATACTCCTCAATAAGGTGAAATTTCTTGTGTTTAAAATCCCTCATTTTCTTCTATAATTTCCTTCTAAATTTCTCATATTTTCCTTTTCTTCTTTCGTAACATAACT